TGGAGCAGAAGAATCATCCAGCTGAGCCCTGTCTGAATCCCTGACCAATGAAGTGATGAGATACCATAAAATGGCAGTTATTCTAGGCTACTACATCTTGGGGTACTTAGTTACACAGAATCAGATTACTGGAACATCTGGAGACATAAGCATACCATTGAGTGAGCTCCATTCATGTTTCTGAGTACTACTGTCTAAGGGTGTTCTTTCTCCAGGCAGTCCCCAGAGTTGTCCTATTCTGCCTTTCTCTTTCTTCCCTTGGCTGCTGTTCACCTTTAAAATTTGGCTTTCAGAACCAACCCTAATCCCTGCTGCCTCCCAAAGGCTTTGTGGACTCCCCCCAGGCCATGGTCAGTACTTTGTTCTCTGCATACCAACAGTGTTTATTTCCTATACCATCCTTTGAAATTTCTAATATGACTGTTGCCTACAATTGTGTTTAAATCTTACCTGGGCTTTTACATTTTTCTGTTCCTGTATTTGCAGGAGATTGGGCTGTATGACCGCTGAGTTCTCTTCCAGCTCAGCAATTCCAGGATTACATGTAAGATATGTGAGCACTTACTCTAGTCAGATCTGAACTTCTCTTTGGGAATTTTTCAGGAACAAGGCCTGGGGCAATCGTCTTTTAAAGAGAGTCTTGCTCTGTTGCCCAGGCTGGAGTGCAGTGGCATTATCTCAGCTCATTGCAACCTCTGCCTCCCAGGTTCAAGTGATTCTCATGCCTCAGCCCCCCAAGTAACTGAGACTAGAGGCATGTGCCACCATGCTAATATTTGCATTTTTAGTAGAGACAGGATTTCGCCATGTTGGCCAGACTGGTCTCAAATTTCTGGCCTCAAATGATTGGCCCATCTTGACCTCTGAAACTGCTGGAATTACAGGCATAAGCCATAGCGCCTGGCCTATTCTGCCTTTATAGGGGATGAGGATGAAAGTGACCTTGCAGAAAGAAATATACATCCTGGACTCTGGAACCTAGAAGACAAAACCTAGGTATTTTGAGGAGCTCTGAGGATCACCAGGGATGATCATCTGGGGATCTCCAGCATCTGGAGACCTTGGGAAGTGGAGATCGTGCATAGCCTCACCTATCAGATGAGAGGCCCTCAGGCCCAGCTCACAGGTTGCTAGGCAACCTGGAAAGAGCTCAGCAGGGTCATTGGGTCATTCTTGTTTGCACAGGGACAAGGAGCATGTGCCCCCTTTCCCTTTCATGTCCACCAAACCTTGGCCTCTTCTATTTTGCCCTACAGTCTAAAACAATCCTAAACGTCCACCTCTGTGTTGTCAGGACCCATCCCACCAGCTTTGCCCCATGGAGAACAAACATGCTCTGTGCCTCATCCGTGCTGCCAAGAATTTCTTTTTCTCACACTCTGCATCCTTGAGCAGTCCTTCATGAAACCACAGCAGATGTTTCTCAGTCCTTTCATTTTCCTTTTTCAGAGGAATTGTAATCGGCTGCGCTTTAATTAGGATCTCCCCGAGGACACTTCGGCTTTCTCCCACACCCAGGAGTTTGCAGATTCCCTCTTAGTGCACCAAGCTGATTAGATTTCTTCATTCCCTAAAATATGCTCTCTCGAAGCCTAATACCCTTGTAGGGATGAAGTCTGTTTCTCTCCCTCTCCTCTCGTTACAGTGCTAAATCCAGGCAGTGGTCACCCTCATGGCGCTTGCTTCTTCCCTGGCTTCGGACCCCTTTCTTGGATGGGTAAGTGGTCCCTTAAGAAAAACCTCTCTTTGCATGCACAGCCTCACTGAAGCTGAAAAGTGTCCTCTGCACGGATTTTTAAAGTCTTCTCCTGGGCACTAGGTTGGTACCAGTCTCCTGAGTTGGATCTAAATTGGGGTAGGTGCCTAGCATAACCCTTGTTCAGGTTTTAGTTGCAGCTTTTTAAAATTCACTGTCAATTATTGCATGAATTTTTCTTGTGCTCCTAATATGTGCCATGGCGATATAATGGCTAACATGGTTCCTAATTTCATGGAAATTATAGAGATCAACACGTGAAAAGATAATTAAATACCATGGGATGCTGTGAAAGGTGCTTTGCAAAAAACACGACTCCTTGGCAGGGGTTTAAGTCTTTGAGGTATAGGGAAAGATTTCTGGGAAAGGCAACATCTAAACGGAGACTTGAATACTAAGTAGAAGTTTTCAGAAGACTGAGAATGGGATGAGAAGGCATGCTAGAAGAGAGGAGAGGATTCTAGGCAAAGGGAAGATCCTAAGGCAAGAGACAGTGAGGCTTGTCCTGGGACCTGCAAAAATGTCCTTGTTGCTGGAGGGCAGTGCAATGTGCAAGGAACTAGGGGTAGAGGGAGCAGAATGAGGCGTGTTGAGAGGAAGACGGAAAGGCAGGCAGGGGCCAAAGCATGCAAGAACTTGTGAGTCTCGTGAAGTCCTTTGCGCTGCAGCAGATAGAGGTGGGTACCCTCCCTTATTTCTTTAATAGTGTGGAGATCAGCACCTGGCACATCCCAGGATTTGGAAGAGGCACCGAGTACTCACACTGTCGTTAAGGTTGGTCCCGGCAGCAGGTGCCACTGAAACCTAAAACACACACCATCTCTGCTCTTTGAAGCCTGTAAACCTTCTGACAAAGAAAAGACAAAATGGGTCCAGCAGGGAATTAGATAAAAAATACTTACAGCCTCGATGAACCAAGAGCTGAGTGTTCTGGGCTGTTGAAGAAGAAACTGGAGTGATGGGCTAGAAGCTGCTTTCAACTTCCCACTGTGAGTATCACTACCACCACTTCCAAGCATGATCCAATAACCACCCCACGTGGATGCTATTGTTAATACGTGCCACAGATGTAGGGGTTGCCTTTTTTATTTTATGATGTTTTGAAAATTCAGAGTTCGTCTCAAAAGCTTCTTGTTGGGCTAGAGAGTAGAAGAATAGAAGGAGGCAGAGAGGGCAGTCGTGTTTGTTGTTTTTTGTGTGTCCATATTCAGGGTAAAGCAGAGGAATCAAGCTCTCCATTCCTCTCTAGGAGGACCCAAGGCCAGGAAAGAAAGGAAAATTCTGGATATCAGAAATCAGAACAGGCCTGGAGTTAGGGAATAAATTTGGAAAGACACAGACTAAAGCACAGGAAGACATCGGAAGTTGAGGTTGGCTAAAGGACAAAACTGCAAAACTCCAATTACAGATTGAATCAAATTATCATCTGCTGGACATTACAACGTTCACACATGGAGAGTGAAAACAATATGCATTTATCACACATTCACTGTGTGCCAGGCACAACATTTTATGGAATATGATTCCTAGCACATCCCAGGAATTGGGAGAGCCACTGAGTACTCACACCATAGTTACGGCTGGTCCTAGCAACAAGTACCACTGGTAGACAGACAGATAGACAAACAGATACAGGTACATGGCTAGTAAGTAGGTAGGTAGGTAGCAAATTCTCTGTCTCCCTATTCCTTCTGGTAAGAAGATAAAACCTAGTGGCTTCAAAAGCATAACTGAGCAAGATACATTCAATATTCACAGAAAGGGTCTATGTGTGGTAGGAAAGAGACACAGGACAGGCATGCGTGTCAATTAAAAGATTACGGTAATGTGGTAAACTGGCCTTATAAGTAGATCTCACACACAGCCTGGGTGAGGACTGTTAGTGCAGTATTAACTTTCACAGGAATAGATGTCCAGTTTCATTTTACTACTCCAGGCTGTTGAAAAAAAACTGAGATAAAAAGGCAAGGCAGTGGCCATGTGTTGTGGCTCAAGTCTGTTATCCCAGCTCTTGGGGAGGCCGAGGCAGGCAGATCACCATAGGTCAGGAGTTTGAGACCAGCCTGGCCAACATGGTGAAACCCTGTCTCTACTAAAAATACAAAAACAATAGCTGGGCATTGTGGAGGGTGCCTGTAGTTCCAGCTACTCACAAGGCTGAGGCCGGAGAGTCACTTGAACCTGGGAGGCAGAGGTTGCAGTGAGCCAAGATTGCACCACTGTACTCCAGCCTGGGTGATGGAGTGAGACTCCATCTCAAAACCAAAACAAAATCAAGAAGGGACCCAAGGCAGATGGTTCTCAAGTCTTCCCCCTATGTCACTTCGCCTTTGCAGTTTTCCATCTCCCCCTCCCAGCAACAGAAGCAGATGCAGGAATCCTGAGATGCAAAAGGAGGCTGAAAACTCGATAATTGCTAGGGAATAGTGATAGTCCAAGGAAGAAGGAGAGGAGGAGGGAAGGGGCTTGGCGAGAAAGATGGGTGTCTGCTCTACATTCTTCCCTGTCTGGGAGATTGTCTTCAAGGACACCTGGGGGCTGGCAGCTGGTACTATGAGCTGCTATAAAAGCCCTGTTATCCAGAATGATTAGAAACAGCTAGTAGAAAAGATGGTTAGAGAAATCTTTTAGAAATGAAATATACATACCCTAAAGCTTTTGTTTCAACCTAAAACATACGACTGCATATTTGTTTGCCTTTTGCCATAGGGTCCACACTGTTCTGCAAATTGGATATCCCAATCTTCTTTGATGAGCCACTTTTACATTTCAATTCTAGTTTAAAAACTTTTAAAATGGGATGACGATGTCAAGAAACACATGAAACAATGTGAGTGAACAATCACTTCCCATTTTTACCGTTATTTTCCCTCTGCTTAGTATAACCTCACATACATCTGATGGCACAGCATTTTTAAATAACTGCCTTTCCAAGCTTCTCCAACTAATTTCACTTCGTTTTTATGGAGACACTGCTCCATTTCCTCGTACATGCACATTTTATCAACTTATATAATATCTAATTAGGTTAAAGTAACAGGAGTAGCAGGATATCAAATGGGACTTTCGCTGTTGACCCAGAATTAGCTACTAAAACTCAAAGCAAATGGCAAAGTGGCCTCTGGTCGACCACATTCTAAAGGGAAATGAGAGTATTAGGAGGCTGCGCACCCCTTCAGGCTATCAAGGGGAGGCTGAAACCCCCAAACCTTCATTCTATATAAGCAGAGGGGGAAGAGCTGGAATTCCAGGATAACAGCAGGACAATGTCGTGTATGTGGGTGTGTTTATTCCCTTCTTCTCCACAACGGGAGCAGAAGGGTCGCTCCTCATTTCACGGCATGAAAGGGTGACTCTGAGGCATCCCCGGTAGAGACTGGAGGCACGTGCAATGATTACCATGTAGCACTTGGTTCTTTGGTTGCAGGATGGTTGAACATCATACTTTCTCATCTGCCCCTGCTTCATGCCTATTTGAGTAGAGACAGAACAAAATTGGGAGAAATGCCAGGGCAAAGACGAGGAATCAGCAGGAAAAGCTGTGCTCCCACCATGGAGAATGAGGAGCCTCTGTGGGTTTGTGGACACTGAAGGATGTAACCAGGAGCTGGGACCAGAGTTGGTCACTGGTGAGGGGGATGTCCTTAGCAAAGGCCTACAAGCTGGAATACGGGCCATAGCTAAGGGATACGTATCTTGGACCCATGCATATGCCCTTGTAGAGAGTCCACGTGAAGTGCCTACCTCACAAAGGGCGTCTCTGGGAATCAGTGATGGACACTCGGCCTGTAGCATGATTCATTTCTCCCCTTTCCCAGCTTGTACCCCTGGAGTTAGAAAGAAGAGATGTAATCATTGTGGAGAGGAAAGGAAGTACTTTTAGAAACTGTCTGTACACGTATAAATATATAGATACCTAACAATAAAAATAATGATTGTAAATCTTTCTATGGCACCTACTCAGTAATAGGCACTATTCTAAACACTTTACCTATGTTAATTTCTAAATATTTGTTTTATATTGATATTTAGGAATATGTAAGAATACACATAGACACATGTATGCCATTTAGCCTGTAAAAATGAACCTTATTTATTCAAGAGTGGGTGCATGGAGCACTGTTAGGTGCTTACTCAGCAGCTCCCTCCACCATTCCTCTTTTCTAACAGAACTCAATTTTATTCTGGGTAGCCATATGCCTACCCCCAAGTGATGGATCATGATTGTTCTTCTCTATGCCATATGACCCTGTTTTCTGGAAAAAGGTAAAAACTTTTCAGAAAGGTTTTGCTTTCCTGATTAAAGGGGAAGATTGCTGGAGCTCTTTCTTCCCCACTCTTTCTCCTTGGACACAGACGTGGCATCTGGAGCTGCAGCAACCATTTTGCATTTATTAGGTAATAAATACGAATAGGCAAATCAAACCTGCTAAGGATAGTGGGATTAAAAGATGCATAGTCTTTGACTGCATTACACAGCAGCTGAACCAACAACATATTTCTTTTTTTTTTTTTTTTTGAGATGGAGTTTCGCTTTTGTTACCTGGGCACGGTCTCGGCTCACTGCAACCTCTGCCTCCCAGGTTCAAGCAATTCTCTTGCCTCAGCTTCCTGAGTTGCTGAGATTACAGGCATAGGCCATCATGCCCAGCTAATTTTGTGTTTTTAGTAGAGACAGGTTTTCTCCATGTTGGTCAGGCCGGTCTTGAACTCCCAACCTCAGGTGATCTGCCCATCTCAGCCTCCCAAAACGCTGGGATTACAGCATGAGACACCGAGCCCAGCCTAACAACACACTTCTAAATGGGGAGGGGGGAACATGGGTGTTGTTTAATCCTCGGTTAGGTTTCATGTTATTCACAAATGAAAACACTCATAATTAATAATATTCATCCTCAAATAGACATATACCTAAATTACAGTATAAAATAGATTTAATAAATTTTAAAGTCCCTGTATTTTGTTTAGTTGTATATGTAAGTATATTATATCAGTGATCCAATGTAAGTGGATTCAACTGCGTCAATTGTATATTAAGAAACAAAATAAGGCCTTTTCAGAATACTCTAAATGAATTCTTAAGAGTAATATATAAGTAGTACTCTAACTGTGAACAGTAACTACTATATAATTAGTCAGTCTGAAATGAAAAGGGATTGAGTGATTTGAAAACATGGTTCTGATTGAAAATATGTGTGTGTGTGTGTGTGTGTATATATATATATATACATATATTCTGATTTCATATATATATACATATATATGTGAAATCACAGGGCTTTACCATAAGAAGTGAAATTATATCTCATTTTTCTAAGCACTTCTGTTCTAACTATAAGATGATAAGATTAAAATGACACAGTTTTAATTATTGTAGCTTTGTGAAACAGTTTGAAATTAGGAAGTATAATGCCTCTAACTTAGCTTTTCTTTCTCAGGGTTGTTTAGGCTATGTGGGGTCTTTTGTGACTCCATATGAACTTTAGAATTGTTTTTTCTATTTATGTAAAATATGCATTGGCATTTTTATAAGTATTGCATTGAATCTGTAGATTGCTTTGGGTAGTGTGGACATTTTAATACTATTAAGTCTTCCAATCCATTAACACAGAATATCTTTCCATTCATTTGTATCTTCTTTAATTTCTTTCATCATTCTTCTATTGTTTTCAGTGTATAAATCTTTCGCCTACTTGATTAAGTTTATTCCTAAGTATTTTATTCCTTTTGATGTTATCATAAATGGAATTATGTTCTTAATTTCCTTTTGGGATAGTTTATTGTTAGTGTATAGAAATACAGCTGATTTTTGTATATTGATTCAGTGTCCTGCAATTTTACTGAATTTTTTTATTAGTTCTGTTTTGTTTATGTGTGTGTGTGTGAAGTCTTTAGGGCTTTCTAATTATAAGATCATGTCATCTATAAACATAAGGTTTTACTTCTCTCTTTCTAATTTAGATGGCTTTATTTCTATTTCTTGCCTAATTGCTCTGGCTAGGACTTCCAGTTCTATGTTGAATAGAAACAACTAGAGGAGGCATCCTTGCCTTGTTCCGTATTCTACAGGGAAAGTTTTCAGCTTTTTGCCATTGAGTATGATGTCAGCTTGCCAAGTGGAATTTCATTACAGAGGTAGGAAAAAAAAAAAAAGACTATGATGTCAGCTTTTCACATATGGCCTTCAACATGGTGAGTGAAAATCCTTCTGGTCCTAGTTTGCTGAGAGAATTTTTATCATGAAGCAGTGTTGAATTCAGCCAAGTGATTTTTCTTCATCCATTAAGATGATCATATGATTTCTTCATTCTATTAATGTGCTGTATCATTGTATCACATTAAATAATTTTTGTATGTTAGACAATTCATAGATTTCAAGAATAAACCCCACTTGGTTACGGTGTACACTCCTAAAACTACTCAGGAAGCTGAGGCAGGAGGATCACTTGAGCCTAGGAGGTGGAGGCTGCTGTGAGTCACAATTGTACCACTGCACTCCAGCCTGGGCAGTGGAGTGAGACCTTGTCTAAAAGAGAGAGAGAAAGAAAGAAAAGGAGAGAGAGATAGAGAGGACAATGGAACAGGATAGAAAGCCCAGGAATAAACCCATGTGTATACAGTTAACTGATCTTTGACAAATGTGCTAAGAATACAAAATGGGGAAAGAAAAGATATTCTATTCAACAAATGCTGTTGAGAAAATTCTGCTCTTTTCTTACTCCATACACCAAAATCAACTTAAAAGGAATTAAAGACTTAAAGATAGACCCAAACCTCAAAACTCTGGAAGAAAATATAGGGGAAAAGCTTTATGACATTGGTCTTGGCAGTAATTTCTCAAATATGATACCAAAATCACTGGCAACAAAAGCAGAAATTAACAAGTGGTACTACATCAAACTAAAAAGCTTCTACACAGGAAAGCAAACAATTAACAGAGTGAAAGCCAACCTAAGGCATAGAAGAAAATATTTGCAATGTAAACCATATATCTGCTAAGAAGTTAACTTCTAAAATATGTAAGGAACTTCTATAACTTAATAACAAAAACAAATAACCCAAGTAAAAATGAACAAAAAGGCCGGGTACAGTGGCTCACGCCTGTAATCCCAGCACTTTGGGAGGCTGAGGCAGGTGGATCACCTGAGGTCAGGAGTTTCAGACCAGCCTGGCCAACATGACGAAATCCTGTCTTTACTAAAAATATGAAAAATTAGCCAGGCGTGGTGGTGGGTGCCTTTAATCCCAGCTACTCGGGAGGCTGAAGGAGGAGAAGTGCTTGAACCTAGGAGGCAGAGGTTGCAGTGAGCTGAGATCAAGCCAGTGACATATAGATGACCAACAGGTATATGAAAAGAGGTTCATCATCACTAACCATGAAGGAAATACAAATCAAAACCAGATAAGATATCAACTTACACCTATTACAATGGCCATTAAAAAAAAGGTAAAAGGTAGCAAGTGTTGGCAAAGACATGGAGAAATGAATGAGACCTTTTGTACATTGTTACTGGGAATGCAAAATGTTTCAGCTGCTATGGAAAATTGTATGATGGCTTCTCAGAAAATTAGAAGTAGAATACCATATTCCAGGAATTCCATTTCTAGGTATTTATCCAAAAAAATTGAAATGAGGTTCTCAAAGAGATATTTGCACTTTCATATTCACTGCAGCATTATTTACAATAGCCAAGATGTGGAAACAACCTAAATACCCATTGTTGGATAAATGGATACAGAAAATGGGGTGTGTGTGTGTGTGTGTGTGTGTGTGTATTTACATATACATATAATGGAATATTGTATAAACCTTGAAAAAGAAGAAACCCTGCAATATGCAGTAATGTGGATGAACGTGGAAGGCATTATGCTAAGTGAAATAAGCCAGTCACAGAAGAGCAAACATTGCATGATTCCACTTACATGAAATATCCAAAATAGTCACATTTATAGTACCATCAAGTAAAATTTTGGTTGCCAGAGTCTAGAAGAAAAAAGAAATAGGGCATCGCCTTTCAGCAGATACGGTTTCACTTTTGCAAGATGAATATGTCCTAGAGATCTGCTGCACATCATGCCTGCAGTTAATGATATGATCTTGTCCACTTGTGTTAAAAGACTAGATTTCATGTTAAATGTCCTTACCACAATAATAAAAACAGCAAAACAGAAGAGGTGTGTATCGTAGTTGGTTTTCCTTAAAGCAAGAGAGAGAGAGAAAGGGAAAGATTTAGAATTGAAAAAGAGTACGTGATAAATAAAATAAAGATTCCTCCAATACTAGTTAGGAATAAAGAGTAAAAAGACAGTGAAACTGCATATCGGTCTTCATTAACCTTTGCTACCTCAGCCTTCAGACCAGGCTGTACAGGGTGGCTGGCGTTAATTCACGTTGTGCTTTATCAAGCACCCTGTGTGTTTGTCTCCATTTTGGTGAACATTCGCATCCGGCCCCAGCCTGGAAAGTGCTCCCAGTCAATATTAACCATTTGGCCCTCGTGGGCTCCTGAATGGACTATTCTTGACACAAATTAATCTTCTCTGAGGAAGGGTTCACAAAACCTTCAAATTTTGAAAAGCAGAAGGCAGAAAAGTATCTTGATCAAATCTCTTTTGATTGCAAATAATAGAACCCAACTCAAGCCAGCTTTTAAGAAGGGGTCAGGAAGTGGCTGTTTGTGGTTCATTCAAAGGAAAAGCTTTGTATTTAGTTTGAAGCAAGGCTAGATCCAGTTGGTCCGACAATGGTGACAGGATCAGTTTCTGTTCCTCGACTCTGGTCTTTATTGAATTTGCTTAATTATCGGCCACGTCCTTGCCACACTGGTAGCAGCAGGGCCAGAGCGCAGAAGCTCCTACAAGCTCCATGCTTACAGGATTCCAGCTCTAGAGAAATAGAAAGAGAGCTTCTCTGTTCCAGAAGTCATGCAGAAGTTCTAAAACTGTATTTCATTGATTTTGTTACAGGACCATCCTGAACCAATTGTGGTAAAAGAGAGATCATGTTATCAATGACTGAGCTGGGATTAAGTACCTTTCCCTGGAGCCAGGGGTGATGTCAGCTCTACCTGTGACACAATGACTGAGTGGGTTGGGAGTGCTTTTCCAGAATATTAGACCCTGTAATAGAGAAGGGGAATGGGTCCATTGTAGGAAAACTCAGATGTCTCATACGGATAAGGAAAATTATTGAACCACCATTAACTGAGTGTGTACTATGAGGCTGAAGAAGCAATGAGCCTTGAGTCTTTTAATCTACACCACACTTGCAGAGCTATATGCAATTATCCCTGTTTTACAAAAGAAGAAACTGAGATCTAGAATACTTCAAAAATGTTTTCCAGCAACACAAAACTAGTAAGTCAAGTTGCATCTAACACACACGTTTCATCCTAAAGTGTCTTCTCTCTGGCGTTTTGCCTTCTATTGCCCCATATATAGAATCAAGCAAGTTCCTATTCAATGTGAGGTGGGATACGCCTAGTGCTTATCTTCTGTTCTGCTTGGGGTCAGCAGGTTATTTCAAAGACTGAGAATTAAACAGTACTTTGAAGTGGGAAGAGAGTTAATAAATTGAGAAGAAAAGATACAAACAAAATGGTGAATATTGAATATTTTAATTCTGTAAAAAATGTACCCATGGAAAAAAGACTGGAATCATAAATCCAAAAAGGATGAGAATAAGTGCTTCAGGGAGTTAAGATTTGAGGAATTATTTTCTTCTTTATGTTTTCCTGATCTTTCCACATATTCTACCATGAGAATGACTTATTTTTAATCAGAGAAAAATCTACTTAAAACAATCTTGCAAGTATAAGGTGAGGAAAGGTAAAATAACCTCTGTGATATTTGAATCAGGTTGAGAAGCTGTAAAAAGCTGTAAAAATCCTGTCAGTTTTCTGTGAATAATTTTTTTTTAAAAAAAGGAAGCATTGGAGTTAATAGCAAATTCTCTGCATGAACAGAAGTTAATATTTTCACGCCTTCCGGCACGCAGAGGCCAGCAGCACACAGTGCATATACACATATTAACAACCCGGACAGGGGTACAAATAGCAAGGTTGAAAAACTCGCTGACTCAGGTTGGTGGAGATGAAGCAAGAACAAACTTGGAGAATTCTTCCTGGAAGATTCAGAACTTCCAGGATTGTAGGCAGAAGAAAAGGTGAGCAATGGATCTAGGGGAAATAAAGGCAATAGATCATTTTCCCGGGTTGCAGGGTCCTGAACAATTCTCAGTAGGGGAGGGATCCTAGTTCTTACCTGTGTTACTCAGTGTTCTCCAGAGAAGCAGAATAGATAGATAGACAGACAGACAGACAGACAGACAGATAGATAGATAGATGGATATTCTCTCTCTCTCTCTCTGAAAAACATCAAACTCAAATTGAGAGAGATTCTATAAACAACTGCCCTGTACAAGAGGGAGAGAGAGAGAAGGAAAGAGAGTTAGGTATAGTTCTAAGGTCTGAGAGCTGGAGAGCTTGCAGATTTCAGTGTAGATTCCAGTCCAAGTCTGAAGGTCTGAGAAGCAGGAGGAGCACGAAGGGTAGAAGATCAATGTTCCAGCCGAGTGGTCAGGCAGAGAGAAAAAGAGAGAGAATTCTTCCATCTTCCTTTATGTTCTATTTATCCTTTATGTTCTATTCGGGCCCTCGGTAGATTGGATAATACCCACCCACACTGGGGAGAGCTATTACCTTTACTCAGTCCAAAGATCTGAATGCTAATTTCTTCTGGAAACATCCTCATAGACACACTCATAAATAGCATGTAACCATATATCTGAACATCCCATGATGCAATCAAGTCGAAACACACAATTAGTTAACATACTCCCTGAAACCCCTTTTCCCCATGAAATCAAAGAATATAATCTTCATCACAATCAGAGCCCCCTGGATGTCTGTCATACATTACAGTTTACAAGCCACTTTCTCATTTACTATCTCATTTGATTCTCACCATCTCTTCACTGGGCTACCATAGCAAGAGGGGCGAATCTCTTCAAAGTCTGGTTGTGACCGTCTCACATCAGATGAAACAGAGAGCTTCAAGCTACGTTTTCTGTTTATGTTCTGAACTGCAAGTAGTGTTTTAAGAAAGTCAAAGTGATCTTGGAATCTCTAGCAATAGCTAAATACAAAACTGTGTGCCTTTCTGCCATTGGTGCTCGTTGTACTAAGAAGAAAAAAAAATGAAGTTGAGTCATTAAGAAAGAAGTCTCCCTTCACTAATGAACAAATCAGTGATCACAGGACACCCAATACACACACTGGGAAGGACACAGCAACATTCTTGTGGTATTCATGCCAAAAAAAAAAAAAAAAAATCATAACCTCCTGTATCTGGTCATGAGAAAACATCAGACAAACTCAAAATGAGACATACTCTATAATAAACTGGCCTACACTCTTCAATAATAATTCACGAATGATAAAGAATGAATAACGATTTCAGATTAAAAGACACTAAAAAGATAGCAACAACTTAATGTGCCACATGATTCTAGGTGGAATTCTAGACCAGAAATTGCTTTGGCTATGAAGTACATCATTAGGATAATGAGGGGGAGGAAGGAGGGGGGCAAGGGGGAGGGAGGGAGGGGGGAAGGGGAGGGGACTGAAAGGGAAGGGAGAAGGAGCTACAATGCAATACACTGCAATGTGATGTGATAGAATTATACAACAGGACAGACACTCAAGCAGACAATAGAACATGGGTGACAGCTCCTAACATTCATGGCATGTAACAACCTTGCACCTGGATAGTGTTCTCCATACTCAAAACTGTATGTGATTTAGTTCCATGCTTTTCTTCCATATTTTCTTCTCAGCTGAGGCGAGAAATTCATAATATAAATATTTGACTTTCCAGTCAGAAAGGTCTAGATTTTTCTATCTTGACTTTACCCTTTGCCAGCTAGAAAACTTTGGGAAATTCATTCATGTCTTTGAATTCCAAACCCCTTGATGGGGAAAATATGCTTGGGTCACAGAGTTTTAAAGAGAAAACCTGAGACGTATAGTAAACATCAAAGTGCCCAGAAGAGATGTTGGCACACAGAGGTACAAAATACTTTTTATTTTGACTGTCCATGTTTACTTTCTCAGCATTTGTCTACCACTCACATTGTGTCCCAGAGGGCCCAGAGAGTCGGGTCCCCTGGAAGGACCTCATTTCACCTTTAATCACTGGGTAACCAACCACACGTGGCTTGAGTCTGGGATCACGAATGGATGGGGCTTCTTCTGGAACCTTATCCTCTTATACACCAAGTAAACATTTTGGAAATATTTTCATCCAAATGAATGACAAAAACATTAGTGAATGTAATGGAAAATATGCCGATATAAACCCCTTCCTTTCTTAACGAGGCCACAAAAATAAGGCACCGTTATTCCTAATGGGAAGTGATGCTTCACTGCATTTGACAATTTTCTTTTTTTACAGTGTCTGTCTCCCCTTTAGACTGTAAGCACCATGAGGCAGGAATGATATTTCACTCATCAGTGATTCCATAGTACCTACCACAGTGTGTTCTGGTGCATGGTAAATGCTAAATAAATGTGTGAATGGATGAATGAATGAATGAATATAATTTTCTAGGTTTGGAGGGGCTTCTTAGAAGTAACTTGGGGCACTCTATATCTGTTGTCTAGATTACACCCAGAGAAATTCCACCTATTCATTTTATTCTAAAATATTATCCGTGAAAACGTTCTAATCTTGCCCAACCTCAGTTCTCTAGAATCATGGAAGGATTTGCCTCCAACCTTCTGGGATGCAGCCAAGTTGGAAGACATTCTCTGTGTTCTGATTCTTTTTTTTTTTTTTTTTTTTAATGGTCGTAAGTTGCATAGGTCGTAAGTCGATCAATACCTGTACAGCCACACTGTGGATTAGGGCATCAACACAGGAATTCTGAAGAAACAAACATTTCGTCCCTTCCTTCCAGGAAAGCCTTGGAGGGGCAGTAACTCCACTTAGCCATCCGCCTCCACTTGTCCATCCTGCCCTCCAAGTGGGCGGGCCACACTCCATGCATGCCTCATTGGGGTAGGCATTCCTGGCTGCAGGTTTCAGTGGAGGATTGGCCCCCAGAGGTAGAATCTGCAGTCTGGGTGAGCTGGCATCACCAGGCCCAGCAGGTCCAGTACTCACACCCCTTCCTCCAAACACAGTGTC